GAGCCACATCCACGTGTCGCCTTCTTAGGAGGTCGGGTCAAATCATCCTCAATCAAGTAGGTTAGCTTTGAAACTCGTTTTCTCCTTGAAAATTTAAGACTCTTTGGTTTCCTTCTGGATTAGTGATTATGTGCCATGAAGCTTGATATGTATTTCTTCGTGTTTATGGATTAGGAAACTCTAATGACTTAGGGTTTCGAATTCGTCGACATGAACTACTATAGATGTTTTCTAGGAGATGTTAGTGATTTTGTGCCGTGAAGCTTGATATGTATTTCTTCGTTTTCTCCTTGCTTCCTGTGTAGAGATCTCCGTTTGGCAGAGCCTTCTCTACGTAGGCGCTCGCAGTGGCATCGGCGCCGGTTGTTGGAACTCCGAACACGGTACTGGTAATGGTGGTTATCGGTGCTACCCTTCTAGTACTAGCCTAAGATCGGCTCAAACTGACGACGAACGGTGGCGGAACCACCATGGCTGTAGTCGATGCTGCTACCTCGATCACTTCTTTGTTATCTTCTTCAGATTTCTTCTTTTGTTACCGTTGGCGCTACCGTTGTTTAGTTCTTTGTCAACCAATAAAGTTTCTCGCGTTTTCGATTTTCACCACTCAACTGCTCCTCTTGTGGCCGAGCTACAATGAGTTTATCCTCGACAAGGTCCAACAATATCAAGGAGGATACACTTCCTTATCCGGCTTACATCATTCACTTGCAATGAAACAGAGGAAATCAGAAAGAAGAAAGGGGAGGAGAGAAAGGGGAAGGGGAAGAAGAGAGATCGGGGGAGAGAGAGAGGACTTCAAAAGTCTGTCTCCACTGCAATAGCTACCGCTGCTACTGCTCCTGTATCTTGAGGTTGGAGAAGATGAACAGTGTTTTTCTCCCGATAGTTATTACAAGGGTAGTATGGGCATTAAAAAATATTGCAACTATGGATTTTAATGGAAGGCTAATGAAAGGGGGTTTTGTCTCACGGTCATAATATAGGGGGGTCTTTGTCGCAAAATAAAGTACAGGGGGTCTTTGTAATTTACCCTATATTTTTTATTCTTGCTTCAAAGTGTGAAAATTGCTCTCATCATCTTCTCGGATGATTGATTAAGCATTTATTGCCAGCTTTTCTAATCTCTCTAATCAGACTCGGTCTTACATCTATTGCCAGCTTGCTCCTATTCCACGGAGCCAAGTTAATATCCATACGAATTGGTCAAGCACTATGCATTGGTATTGCTACCATCTTCTACAATTGAATTTTTAGTGCCAAAACAGTATTTTTAGTGTTAATCGATGTATAGCTGATTGCCACACCGAATTGGGGGAGCACACAAATTGGTTATTTTCATTGAATGAAAATTTTCTAAGCCATTTTAACAAGAATCAAAATTGAGGGAGCAAACAAATAGAGGAAATCAAAGGTTCAAAACAGAACTCAGTACTGCATGCAATCGTCTAAGTTGTTTGCCGCAACTATACTTCAAGAGCTCGTCATAACCAGCTTGATATTGGATAAAAATTAGATGATATGTGAAGGGAGCTTTTGTCCTTTTGTATAACACTTAACATCAATTGATGTTTTGAACCAATTTGACACTTTTTGAAAGTTTGAATACTGTATTAATATGTTTAAAAGTTCATATATTAACTTGGCACTATTCCCAAAGTTTAGGGTACTAAAGTAGAAATTTGCCTTATTTTTATTCGGATTTGGGAATTTAAGAAAGGATAATTTGGTAATAAAACATTAATATTTTGTCCACAGTTTTTTTTAAACCTATCTGTTTTTTGTCAATTCAGCAAACCTTCTTAATTTTTTTTTTGCAAAAAGCCCTATTAATTATCATCGTACAATTTCATTAATTATTAGTTACTAAATAGTAATTAATAATTAATGAATTAATTATTATTAATTATTCATTAATAGTAATAATAATAATTATTATTAACTAATAAATATTAATGATTAATTATTAATTATTATTCATTAATATTATGTATCAATTATTATAACAATTTTTAATATTGTTTCTTTATTGAATATATAAACAAACAAGAATTCTCTTATATGGGGTTAAATTAGATATTTGGCATTTTTCAAATTTCAGAATAACATTCTATCTTTAAAAATTTACCAATACCAATATATCTCTTAATATAATTATTGCAATTTTAGATGTTAGAACAAAAGAATAAACCCTTTTTTAAAGTAAAAGACTTAACAAAAAATAAAATGTGGCCTTAAAGTCTCATTTTAGAACCACTCAAGTCGCTGATATTTTATTTTGGTAAGAGAAATCCCACATGATTAGATTGACTTTTCATCATTGTTCCAAAAATTTATTTACTCTTGGTAGAAACTAGGAAGATTAAAAATCATTCTAGAACCACTCAAGTCCCCAGTGCTACCATCGGCATGATTGGATTGATTTTTCATCTGGGTTCCAAAAATTTACCGCCCCAACCCCAGCTGCCCACTTGAAGAATTATTTCTGACGAGGACCACCTCCTCTACCTAATAAAGCCTACCATGTCTCAGTTCAACTGTTTGATCTAGTCAAGGGGTTAGCATGGCCGACCCGAATTTAAAAGTATAAAACAGGACCAGCGACATTAACGGGGACAAAAGAAAAGTTATAATCTGAAAATGCGATATTTTAGGTAAATTAGAAAAGTAAATGAGGTCATTTGAATAAGTTTGGGATGGAAAAAATACTAGAATTTGATCGGTTGTTGGTAGATTGGGAGAATTTTAACCTTGAAATAAACAAGTTATAAGACTAAAGGCTGGTGGGTGAGACCATTGATTTGCCAGCAGTGTCCTAGTTAACTAATCACGAACCAGCAAGAGTATATAAGAAAACATGATATATGACAACTTTTATTCGTAGTTCTTCAGAAAAGGCCGAGGTTGAGTGCAAACAAGAAAACAAGAAAAGAAAAGAGAGGATTGAATGCGTACAGGAGGGAGTGATGAGTTAAGACAAATGAGACGTCAGTGCGTCCAAAGGAGACTCCGAATGGTCAAGTTGGCCGCTCGTTACACCACCAATGGGCTGGTGGTGGGTGGGTCACATGGGCTTTGGTTAATGTCTCAAAAGATAAAAGCCTCGTAATTAATTTTCTTTTTTCCTTTCCGTATACAAACAAAGCGTAAGGCTGTAAGGTAAGAGAACAGTGTTCACCGTCCACTGTTTATAGAGAGAGAGAAAGAGAATCTGAAGGTGGTCGCTAAAAACCAGAGACAAGGGGCATAACTAAATAACAACAATCACCCTCACGCCACTAAGAAAAGGAAATGTTGTTGGGCATAGCAAGGCCCAATAACTTTTGTTGCACTAGAAGATAAAAAATATATAAATAAAGGGGGGTGTCCCCATGGCCTGTCTCGGCAGCCCATGTCGAGAGAGCGTGACAAACCCGTGCTTTGGCTGCGACCATGGAAGAATTTGTTCCCAAGTTTTTTTATTTTCTTCTTCTAACCTTGGATTCTTTTCTTTACTTGGCAAAAGATATCCCTACATTTTGGTGCTAATTACGAGCTTTACCGAAATGTGTTTATCTTCCTTCTGGAAAAGACGAGCTTGGTTCTCATGGAATGAACAAACAACCAAAACACCGGGCTCCTGTCTACAGCTTGATGTGGAAAGCACATCAACTGCCATGCTCCCATTGATATACGGATCTCTCAGAGTATGGCTTTTTATATATTTTTGTCATTACAATTTCAAGTAGACACTGATTATTGGGCCGCAACTTCATATGATGCCACGAGTGTCTATTTATAAAACTGGTTTTGTGAAATTGATGGCAATTCCAGTCATTGGGCCAAATGGTTGATCCAGATTCCAGACCCATGAGCCTGCAATTTAACTTAAAAAGATCGATCATACCCCTTTTTGTGGATGATGCAGAGATACAATATTTATTCATTCCCTATTTGTACTTTGTAGAGCCCATTTTGCTTCCTTTTTTAATCAATTTCCCAGCCCCAAAAGGAAATCGAAGAAATTCTTCCATGAATCAACAGTAGTGCCCAACTGCCTTTGTTTGCTACTAAGGACATCTAATAAAACATCACCTTCGCCCTATAACATCGAAATACAAGAATTTCTTGGCATCTTGCTACATCAAGGTTGCAAATAAAACGATACCAAAACAAACTACCAAGGGGGTGCCTATTTTTGAATTGTTTATCAGTACAACCATGTTTTTCACTGTGGTTGTGATGGAACAATAAAGGGAAACATCAAATTAACTAGAGCAAGTTATCCTCACAAACTCACAAGTTCTTGATATTTTTTACCCACATTCAGACAATCCAGGCATTACAAACCCTTGGGCCATGTTTGTTTTGAAGGAAAAGATAGGAAAAATAGGGTAATCTATACACTTTCAAACCAAACATAGCCTTAAGTTTATTATTGATTTTTATTATAGAAAATTAGAAATATAAAATTTTATTACAAGCCCTATTAGTGGTGCGGTCGGTTCTGGGCCTCCTACATACGGACCAGGTATCTAGCCCAGACCCGACTCGGTGACAGATCACGGGCATAAAGAGCGACAAGGGCGGTGAAATTTAACACATGGCCGATCCAAGGTGGACAGTGTGGATCAACGACGTGATTTCCTCCAATTGATCAGTTGAGAAGTATTTCTCACTTTCTAAGGCACTATGTCAAAATCTAAAAGAATGGATGGATCAAATCACTGATCAGAAAAATCAGCGTACGTGAGAGTAGATGATGATCCTCGGCACAGCTTGCAAATTACACCAATCTGCACAAAAAGAGAATAAGGAGAAATTAATGCTGTAAAGCAAACACAGCCTAAGATAGAGCCAAAGAAAGGAGGTGGGTGGGGGGTAAATTGGATATTTTACTAAAGAACCGAAAAGCATTTATTTCTCTTGTCGTCATCGTAAAAACAAAGTAATAGGGGCTTGGGGCGCCCTCGTAATTTTATCAAATGTGAGTCCTAAATATACTTATAATTCCACCCAGCTGAAAATAATTACCGAGAGCAGGGGTCACCTCCGCACCTGCTCTCCTTTCTCAGACGGACCTCATCATCGTCGTCAAATCTCAATTTTCACACGGAGTCCGCCTGCAGAGAGGGCAGGGCTAAAGAGGAGACTTGAAGAGTTGTGTTCTGAGATCGCAAGTTTCATCTGGGGGTGGCTGTGAATCGAAGATGAAGCGAGCACCCAACACCGACGAAGATCCAACGATCGATGGTGATAAAACGAAGAAGCAGAAGCGCGAAGAAGAAGAAGAAGTTGGGGAGAAGGTGAATCAGGAGACTGGGTTTGTGCATCTCGACGAGGATCTTCTCTTCGAGGTGCTGAAGCACGTTGATGCACGCTCGCTGGCAATTGCTTCTTGCGTTAACAAACAGTGGAACAAAACGGCCAAGGATGAGCGATTGTGGGAGATGGTTTGCACCCGACACTGGGCCAACATCGGCTGTGGCAATCAGCAGCTGCGCTCCGTCGTCCTTGCCCTCGGAGGGTTTCGTCGCCTTCATTCTCACTGCCTCTGGCCTCTATTAAAGCCACCCCCTTCATTGCTGCATACTCCGTCTCCACCAGTGCCGTCATCGTCATCGTCTTCTCCCTCTCTCTCGTCTTCATTTTCGGCTCCAATCATTCCACCGAAGACACCGGTTCATTGGGGGAAAGACGAGGTTCAGCTTTCCCTCTCTCTTCTATCGATTCGCTACTTCGAGAAGATGAACGTTAACAACAGAGGCAGATAATTTGTGTACTCCCATCGCCTTTTCTTTTCTTTTTTTTTTTTTTTACCTAAATTTCATCTTTTTTATTTTCTCTTTGTTATTGGATTTCTTATGGGTCTTTTCTTCTTTTATATATGAATAGATCTGCACTGTAAGTTTGCCTGTAGTCTTTATAATGTGATCGTTTTCTTGGGTTCTAATATGAACTTGCAAGGATCTAAGTAAGGGGATGTTGATTGTGAAATGAAAATTATTTGCTTTTGGGTGTTTGTATCATCTATCATCAGACCTATGAGTGGTTTGCAAAATAAATCGAACACAAGCTGTGCGTGTGGATTGGTAGTTTGGATTTTGATTTCCATTTCATCCCTGGTGTGAATGGGTATTGGGACTGACTGGTGTGAAGAGATTAGAGGATAGGGTTTTTGCTGCCAGATAACAGTCCAAAGTCTCTGCTTTACAAACGTATACACTGTGCCTCCCCTTCCCCAGATTGGTGTATTTGGTGTCTGGGTGCGTGGTACTGGAATCGACACAAACGGACAGAACCAAAGGTGGGAGTTGTACAGTTGTACTTATATGCCTGCTAGAGGCCAAGCCTCTCCCACCCCCCAACTGTAATATTTGGATTTCTATTTGCAAAGATGCATTCCCTATTGTCTTGTTCTAGACAAGATCCAGAGAGAAAGAAAGCAAGCACTCTCTCTAGTCTCTACCAATTAAATTAGCTTGGTCTTAGATTCCCTCATTTTTGAAAAGTAGAAGAAACGACATAGAAATTAAAGTTGATTGTAGGCATGAATACAGAATACCAATGTCCATGTGTAGCTTCAGATTGAGAGGATTAGATGCATGTGATATGAATTTATGATACTCGTCCGCTCTGACTAGTAGTGGACTGAAATCTAATCTAAAATAGCTCATCAAATGGAGACGGGAATTGAGGAGATGGGCTTCTATCAGGGCAAACCTGTGCCCACTCCGTTTTAACAGCCTTCTACAATGGCCAAAGCCATAGATAGCAGCTACACGGAAGGGTGGAACCATTGACCTGAAAGATGAAGGATAATGAGATCAGATAATTCACTCCTCGCTGTCTTGCCAATTTTTATCAATTGAAAATTTGGGATAGATGGCATCGAAGTTTTGGATGACCATCTCGCCATCCCCAAATCTCACAGCGCAGGTGGCATATTATTTGGTGTAAATGGGGCAATTACATCCCATAAAAATCAGCTAAGAGCCTTGGGCTAGAACTGTGAATCACGGCCATTTGTTGTATGGTTGCGGCCCCACCTTGAATTTCATGAGGTGAGGTGACCTTTAAGGTGAGGACCGTGAGGCCGCACCGCCAGAGCAAATTTCGAAGGCTGTGATCTCATCATAGATACAACGACAGCACAATAGCCTGCGTGTGGGATCCACGTGTGTAGAGTTGATGTCATTTATGATGAATTCTCAGATTGAGCCAATTTTTATAGGGGTAATTTTGTAAAAATGCGCATCCTGTGAACTCACCGCACGCGTGAACTCGCCAAAAAGAATGGACCACGACGACATTTTGAATCAATAGTAAAACTGAATACAAAAGGACGTAAAAACGAACCGGTCAGGGGTCCGGTTATCGGTTTTTATGGTCCGGCCGTTCGACAGCCTATTCTGACAAAAAAATAAATAAAATTAAATAAAATTAAAAAAATTGGAAAACAGTTAAAACTGTTCGAATGGTTAGTCGGCCGATTCAGCGGTTTACTAACAAAAATCAACAGTTTTGGGGGAAAAGCGGGTTAGGGGGAAAACGGAACTGGTCCTTGGTTTTTCTGGTCCGGTCCGGTTTTGAAAACTATGGTAAAAACCTTAAACTCACTTCTTTCAAGGGATTTCATTCGAACTACCTCCTATTTCCTCCTCTCCTCTTAGTCCTAATCATCCCACCGGCCATCTCACTATAACATCGGCATCCATAAACATGGGATCCATACGCACCGTCAAGAATTTCGACGGTAAGCATAGAAAGGCACTCTGTAGTCATCCCAACTATTCTTCTTCTTCTTTTTCTTCTTCCTCTTCTTCTTCCGAACCTTATATTGTTGTTGTTCTTCTCTTCTTAATAGATCGAAGAATCATTTCTCCTCGTACTAGCGGTAATTGGTCATCAGATCATAGGGGTGAGCATTCGGTTTATTCGGTTTGATTTTTTTTTTAAAACTGAATTAAAAAGTTGAAAACCGAACCGAAACTGATGAAGGGAAATTTGGCCCGACCTCACAATCACCTGACATGTGGCAAAAGCGAACAACTCGGGACAGCGGAGCACCCAAAACGAGCACCAAAAGTAACGGTCCAAGCTCACTACCGAGCCCGAACTCTAGACCGCTCTACTAGGAGCCCGAGCTCCCTACCAAGAGTTCGAGCTCCCTACTGGGAGTCCGAGCTCCCTATTAAGAGTCCGAGCTCCCTACTAAGAACCCGAGCTCCCTACTGAGAACCCGAGCTCCCTGCAAGGAGCACGAACT